AACTTCTCCATTGCTCTCACTTTTTAATGGCAAGCTATAGATATAATCTTTGATGGCTAGCCTTGAGATACGAGATAACAGGAAACTGGTGTGAAAACCGCTATAACAGGGGAAAAAACTAGCAAGTCCCTAGAGGGGGCACCAGCTTTCAAGAGCCTCAAATGGCTGCACAGGATAACTGCAGGGAGCCACCATCAGACTGAATCATTTCCACTTGCCTTTAAGACATTCTTTCCCCACTGCCTCTGACTGTTATTTCTGAGTAACCAGTTAGTTTTGGGTCGCAAATCACTTGAAATTTGGGCCAAAGGACTCTCAGCGCAATTGAAAACCAAGAAGCAGATAAGTGCTAGAGCCTGCCTGATGATATCAGAATAAAGAGACTTGGTCCTGCAGTTATTTATTAGGACACTGGACTGGAGTTGATTATAGGAGCCAATTCAATCAGATGCTCTCACTGTGGCAGCCCGATGGAAATCTATGTTTGTATCAGGGGTGAAGGAATCTGTTTGATCTCATCCCATCAGACTCATCTGGACTTAGCCCACCCTCCTTCCCAACTGAACGTTATCGACTCATTCAACCCCCTCCCCTCTTAAGAAAGGTGGGGGGGGAGAGAAAGAGTGATCTGTAAAACATCACTCTTTTAGGGAGGGGCTGCTAATCGAATGTATGGAGCCCTTAAAGTTCCATGCAAACACTTTCTGGCAGAAACCATGTACGCTGTTGAAATTCTATCCCACGAATCAAGCCTTTGTCATGACCGGAGGAAGACTATGTATATATGTCTCTGGTGAACCCAGAAATGTACATTCCAGCCAATCCTTTTCCGGTACACATTGTCTCATATGCCTCTAAGAAAAGAAAGCAGAAGCAATGCCAAGACTCCGTATGTGTACACACACACACACACACACACACACAGAGCGCATAAATACTTAACTATGAGAGTATCCCTAATGTGGTCCTGCATCAACATCTGGTATCCCTTGTGCGCACACAAGATCTCCGTATAAAAACTGAGCACACAGCTCTGCACACAACTTCCAAAGCAGTAATCTTGAACGGCATAGTTACTCATGTGCACAGTTTCGTCTGAGTACGCAGTGAATGGAGCACACACGCATAGCAGTTTCCGTTAAGGGTGCGCTATTCGCACAAGAACTGCACTAAGACTTTCCCCCATCAAACAAATGAATTGCCCTTACTCTCTTGGATCAGGCTGAAGAGCACACACACACCCCCCGCCCCTCGCTCCATTAAGATCTTGTGATAAGAAAACTTTAAATCATAGGTGTCATAAAGAGACATCTCCTGTTCTCTTTTTGGTTAAAGGTAACAGATGTGCTGCTGGGATGAGTGCAATTTAAGCCATTAAACTTCTTGATCCCTGAATGTCACCAGGGGGGACCATATAGATGAACATCCAGTTGCACTTACAAAGCACTGCATTTAACTCGCCATAAAATATGGATTTTATTGCAGCACTGTCAAGACCTCATTCCACAACCGCTGACCTCTATGCCCAGATGCAAACCTTTAAATAAAAAATGCTACATGCAGGAATGCTTGGGGTGAGGTTATGCACACACACACACGCACATGCACAATGCATACATGCAACGTGTTTCAATACATATAGTTTTGCCAGGAACGTGTTTCACCCTGTGATTGAATTTTCTATAGCTGCTCAACTTCAGCATCCCACATTCATTCACCTTGCACACTGCCTCTTCTTCAGGCGCAAAGCATTCCATGCTTTACCAGGTTTCTGTGCCATCTCCAGCAACTCTTCCTGCTCTCCCGACTTTTCCTCAAGGAAAGACCTCGTTCCAACTGTGTACGTTCTCTAGATCAGTTTTCCGACCCCCCTCCCACTCCTCGAGGCTTTCCTTCTGCCTTATGAGATCCATATCAAATCCAAAGAGAAGGCTATCATTATTATTCTTGGAATTTCTCTGCTTCGTGGCGAGAGGCGCGTGTGATTTTGTGTGTGTCGGGGGGGGGGGGGAGGTGTTTCAGGGTGTCCAAAGGGCTTCCTAGTGGCATCAACAGAAGGCGCCCCACTCTTTACCTTGCCTAAACGAGCAGCAAAGATGCTGCTCCTATCAAGCACTTCAATTGCTCGCATCCACTTAGCATCCCATCCATGCGCAAAAAAAGAGGAAGAGAAATGACAAGAACTCCCATCCCCAGCTTAAAAGAGCGCATCGCCGTCCATGTGCCGCCACACTGGCATGGTGCTCCCATAGTAACGGACCTGCCAACTTGTGTGTGTGTGTGTGTGTGTGTGTGTGTGTGCAAATAACAGGGTTTCATTAGCATTTGCAGCAGACCAAACAAGAAGAGAGGTGGGGGGGGTATTGGGGGGGGGGAGAAGCGGCAAACCAACCGACCCACCGATCCAAGAAAAACACGGGAAGCGTAGAAGCCAACTCCTAGGAGCCGAGGTCCCTTCAATAAAATATTTGACCCCCCCAACCCCCCCCCCCCAAAAAGTTGATGGGCAAAAAGATGGGTGCCCCATCTTGTGATCGATTATGCAGTAAGGGCTTACCTTCTCCGCCCGCCCCCGCGATGTTTTATTCAAGTTGGCACCGCTTGCCTAGAACGTAGAGTCGGAAGGATCATCTAGTCTAACCCTCCCCGCAATGCAGGGACCTTTGGCCCCCGCGCGGGACTCGAACCCTCGACCCTGAAGAGTCTCACGCTCTGAGCTCTCCCGAACCGGCGACGGAAGAAGAGGAAGAAGAAGACAGAAGAAGAAGAAGAAACCATCGGTTCCTTACCGGCTCAGTAGAGAAGGCGAAAGGGATGCGCCAAGTTGCTCGCCGGCGCCGAGTCGAGTCGGGAAGCGACGCAGCGGGCGGCTTCGGGGGCCACGGCGCCGCTTCTCCGTCCGCCTTCCGCCGCCGAAGCTACTTGCGCGGCACCGAAGCTCCCTCTCATCACTTCCAAACTCCGGCGTGGAGGAAGGCGAGGCAGCCGGAGGGCAGCTCTCCCTCGGCGGACTCGGTCCCTAAGGCAGCGTCCCGGAGTCCTTGGAGGGAATGGAAACTCGCCAGGAAAGATGTAGAAACAGAAACACACACAACACACAAACACACACAGCCCTGCCGGCTTTTCTTTCTTTTAACCTCGCAGAACACACGCGCGCGCACGCCAACGGTGCGCCCTGCTCTTAATGCGGCGCCTCGGGAGCCGGAGCCGCAGCTCTGCGGACGGGGAGGTGAAGGGCTGAGGAGCAGCGAAGGCGCCTCTTGCAGGCATCCAGCGATTCGCGAGTGAATGGGGTGGGAGGTGCGAGGAGGAGAAGGAGGAGGCCTTTCTGGAAGACGCCCGCCTCCCCTCCTTTGCCGCCGCCGCCGCCGCCTCCTCGCGTGGCAGAGAAAAGCGCGCTCTTCTTGGGAAGTCTTGCGGCCAAGCCCTCAGGAGTTTGAGGAATGAAAGGCAACGAGCCGGTGAGGGGGTGAGACGGTGGGGTGAGGTAGTTTCATGACCTGCAAGGGGGAGGGTGAATCTCTAATGCGGGACCCCACTCTTGCAGAAGGTGGGGTCTCCAGGTGAAAGGGGGTGGGGGGTGGACAAGGGCCCTGCCTGAGACCGAGGATAGCAGATGCTGCCCAGTCAGTGCTGGCTGTGCTGAAGCAGACGCACTAGTGGTGTGGCTTGGTAGAAGCCCATCAGATGGACCAATGGCATGTCTCAGTAGAAGCCCATCAGATGGACCAAGGGCATGGCTCAGTAGAAGCCCATCAGATGAACCAATGGCGTGGCTCAGTAGAAGCCCATCAGATGGACCAATGGCATGGCTCAGTAGAAGCCCATCAGATGGACCAATGGCATGGCTCTGTAGAAGCCCATCAGATGGACCAATGGCATGGCTCTGTAGAAGCCCATCAGATGGACCAATGGTGTGGCTCAGTAGAAGCCCATCAGATGGACCAATGGCATGGCTCTGTAGAAGCCCATCAGATGGACCAATGGCATGGCTCTGTAGAAGCCCATCAGATGGACCAATGGTGTGGCTCAGTAGAAGCCCATCAGATGGACCAATGGCGTGGCTCAGTAGAAGCCCATCAGATGGACCATGGCATGGCTCTGTAGAAGCCCATCAGATGGACCAATGGCATGGCTCTGTAGAAGCCCATCAGATGGACCAATGGTGTGGCTCAGTAGAAGCCCATCAGATGGACCAATGGCATGGCTCTGTAGAAGCCCATCGGATGAACCAATGGTGTGGCCCAGTATAAGCCAATCGCTGCAGGCTGTGCTGACGTAGGTGGACCAATAGTGTAGCTTAATAGAAGCCCATCAGCATGGGAGATGGACTAATGTGGCTCAGTATAAAGAATAGGAGCCAACTCCTAGGGGCTGAGGGGGGCTTTGAACCCCCCCATAAAATATTTGAGGGAGCTGCCCCTCCCATGTCGATGGGCATTGCCATTTTAATGGTGAGTGTGCACGGCGTCATGTGATCGATTATGCAAGGCGGGGCTTGCTTGTCCCTTCCCCCAAGAAATATTTTATTGAAGTCGGCACCCCTGGTATAAAGCAGCTGCCTCTGTTCTGTTCATCGACTGTGCTTGGCTTCAAAATGGTTCTGCTGGTCCAGATAAGGCCGGCCCTACCATTAGGTGGCATGATGCTGCTGCTTCGGGCAGGAGATTTTGGGTGTCAGGAAAAGGCAGCAGGTGGTTATGGTTTTTTTGCTGTCAGGGAGGGAGCTGTTCCTCGGATTTTCTGCCTCAGGTGCCTAAAGAACTTGGCTGGCCTTGTATATCATGCACCTACTTAACTTTGAGGCTGAGAGCATGGGGCCATTTGCTGCCCTGCTGCAGGAAGTAATGTGTGTTGGGCCAGCCTTGGACTCTGTTGCTCAAGCAATGCTGTTGCTCAAGCAATGATGGGACTCAGGTGGTCATATCATAGAACTGTCGAGTTGGAAGGGACCCTGAGGAACATATAGTCCCACCCGCTGCAATGCAGGAATATGCAGCTGTCCCTTAGGGGGATTGAACCTGCGACCTTGGAGATATCAGCAACACACTCTAACCAACTGAGCTATCCATATCATGTGATGCCCATATCAGCTGCTTCTGGGGCACTTCTGAGCCCAATTTTAAGTGTTGGCTATGACTTTTAAAGCCTCAAAGCAGTTTGGATCCAGGTTATTTGAAGGCCTGCTACACTTACTTATGGTGGCGCTGTGGGTTAAACCACAGAGCCTAGGACTTGCCGATAAGAAGGTCGGTGGTTCAAATCCCCGCGACGGGGTGAGCTCCCGTTGTTCGGTCCCTGCTCCTGCCAACCTAGCAGTTCGAAAGCACGTCAAAGTGCAAGTAGATAAATAGGTACCGCTCCGGCGGGAAGGTAAACGGTGTTTCCGTGTGCTGCTCTGGTTTGCCAGAAGTGGCTTAGTCATGCTGGCCACATGACCCGGAAGCTGTACGCTGGCTCCCTCGGCCAATAAAGCGAGATGAGCGCCGCAACCCCAGAGTCGGTCACAACTGGACCTAATGGTCAGGGGTCCCTTTACCTTTACTTTTTACACTTACTTATCATTAAGTTTATCTACCGCCCTTTATCCAAAGATCACAGAGCAGATCACTTTCACCAGGCTGCCCACCCTCTGAGGTCAACAACTGAGGCTTTTCTCATTTGCCTCCTGCCAGGAGCTGTTCAGCTGTTGGGAACAAGGCAGAGGGCATTCTCCAAGGCTTGGGATTTCATTCCCCTTGGGGCTGTGCCAGACTACAACAGTGTATACCTTTTGGAAAGACCCTATTACTCACATTTTTCCTCTTGGCTTTTCCCTGAAAGGTTCTTATTATTGGTTTTCATTTATGGTTTATTAAATTTTACATCACTTTCCACTTAAAAAATAAATAAAAATAAATAAATCACCAAGTGATTTACAGCTGAGTAAAAAACAATAATAAAACCACATAAGCATTATCAAAAAGAAATTTAACGCTATAAAGGATGCCTCCCAAATGACCAGAAAAACGGGAACATTTGCCTGGCAACAAAATGATAACAAGGTTGGAGACAGGTAGTCCTCCCTGGAGAGAGCCTTCCATATTTTGGGGGGTAGGGGAACTACCACAGAAAAGATCCCTTCCCTTGCTTCTGTCCTGTGGATGGCACACAGAAGACCACAGATAATGATCTCAGGGCAGGGAAAGGTGGTCCGTTAGGTATTGTGGTCCCGTACTTTAAAGGTCCGTAAAGTAAAAGCTATGGTTTTCCCAGTAGTGATGTATGGAAGTGAAAGCTGGACCATAAAGAAGGCTGATCGCAGAAGAATTGATGCATTTGAATTATGGTGCTGGAGGAGATTCTTGAGAGTCCCATGGACTGCAAGAAGATCAAACCTATCCATTCTGAAGGAAATCAGCCCTGAGTGCTCACTGGAAGGACAGATTGTGAAGCTGAGGCTCCAGTACTTTGGCCACCTCATGAGAAGAGCAGACTCCCTGGAAAAGACCTTGATGTTGGGAAAGATGGAGGGCACAAGGAGAAGGGGACGGCAGAGGATGAGATGGTTGGACAGTGGTCTCGAAGCTACCAGCATGAGTGTGACTAAACTGCAGGAGGCAGTGGAAGACAGAAGTGCCTGGCGTGCTCTGGTCCATGGGGTCACGAAGAGTCGGACACGATTAAACGACTAAACAACAACAACAACTTTAAAGGTGAAAACTAGAAGGCATTTGGCAGCCAGGAAAAAGACAGCATTCATGCCTTCTTGTACCTGTTTGTTTATTTGCTTGTTTGTTGGCTTTTAGATTGCATTTTAGTCCTTTCAGGTGGGCTGCCATATGTTTGTTGGGGTTTGTGTTGCTGGTCTGCTAGTATATTATTTTGTTCTATACTATATTTGCACTTGTCCGTTGTCATGCTGATGAACGTTCACGGTGAAGCAAGTGAGCAGGCAGGCAGGAGCCCCAGGCAGGCATTCTCACATTCTCGCTGCTGCCATCGAAAGCAGGCCTCTGGTCCAGGCAGGCGGTATGACTGGCAGAGAGCACAGTTGGTATAGCCCAGGCAGGCCTTGCTGTGCTTCCTCTTTCACCACTACTGGCAGGAGTGAGGGGAATGGAGGGGAATCTTCCCTCACCCTGCTGCTGCCGGCAGGAAGCCTGCAAATGCGGGCAGCAGGGGTGTGTGTGTGAAAAGAAATACATCCTTTCTCTCCTGCGTTTCCCTCTGCCTCCCCCCCAACCAGTGGCAGCAGTAACAGGGAGGTGGACAAGCTATGGGGTAAGGTTTTTTGGGAGGGCAAGATCTGGGAGCAGGTGGCATTGGACGAGCTGTGAGGGGACAGGATTTTGGGTGAGGTCTAAAGGAACAGGGCTGGCAACGAGCTGGAAGTCTGACAGGTAAGTGAGGTTGGCTAGCAATGCGGGCATGAGTGGTAGCCCCCCCCCGGTGTGTATTTTTCTATTGTATTTTTGTGTTTTCTTGAAAGCAGCCTTGAAAGCGTTTATTCTCAAAGGCAGCATATGATAACTTCTTTGAATAAATGTATGAATCAAATTCTTGACCCATTGCTCCCGTAATTTCCAGCAACAACGACGGCTGTTGTTATATTTCCTATAAGCTGTAGTGGGTGGCACAGTGGGGTGGAGGCGCTCACCTGAACTTCTGTCAGGTGTGTTACTGCTTGCCATATCGGGAGGGAGAGGGGATATGTGCTGGGGAAGGCAACGCTGTGCAAACACATTGACAGGAGTGTCGGATTGACTCCGCTGGTGCATTGGCGGCATCCCGAACACACCCATCCCTGTAAGCATGCTGGCTCCTTTTAGTATAGCAATAACTCTTTTTGGTACTGTTGCAGTTTGACTAACAAGGTTACTATGTGTTGTTAATTCAGTTAGTCATAATGCATAGTGTTTATATGGTGCTTTACAGTGCAATCCTATATATCTTTACTCAGAAGTAAGCCTCATTGGGGCTTATTCCACAGCAGCAAGTGGTGTAGCATGGGTTGCCAGTACCCGGGAAACAGATGCATGCACATTCAGCTGCCTAACAGTGTCCGTGTCTCCCAGGAGATTGCAGCCGCGGAGATAAGAAGTGTCATTTCGTTGTCTGGAGGGGTTGCTTCCTGGTTTGCATGGAGAAGCCATTTTCAATGGAGCCCAGTGACGGAAGTGCACAGCTGTATGGAGGCAGTACCGGGTGTTGACATTTTGCGCCCCTAACAATTGTGTGTCCGGAGCAACCGCCCCGTTGGCTGTACACCCCCCCAATGCTATGTCATAACCAGTAGCTATGTTTAGGGTTGCAGCTTTGGAGTGTTCCAAGAGCATTCCGTGCATTATTGCAGGAATCCTTAAAACACATTTGTAATGGCTAGCACAGTTAGTCAGAGTTTGCAGATAGGGCCTGCCCAGGAGTTGTGGTGACCTAAGGCTATCTAGTGAGTGATGGGCAGAGATGCAATTTGAGCTTGGTTCAGAACTTTCTTTCTTAGCTGTTAAACAATGTGAGTTGGAAGACAATATTTAGATCTATAACTCCCAATTACAGTGCTACCTCAGGTTACAGATGCTTCAGGTTACAGACGCTTCAGGTTACAGACTCCGCTAACCCAGAAATAGTACCTCGGGTTAAGAACTTTGCTTCAGGATGAGAACAGAAATTGCGCCGTGTTGGCGCGGCAGCAGCGGAAGGCCCTATTACCTCAGGTTAAGAACAGTTTCAGGTTAAGAATGAATTAAGTTCTTAACCCAAGGTACCACTGTACTACAAGTTTGCATATGCAGGCTGCCTCAAAAGCTGAAAAAAACAGGAAATACAAGGAAAAAACAGGAAAAACAAGAAAGAGAAAATTAGTGCAGTGTACAATAGGCAGAAAAAGCAAAGGAGTAGAGATTTCAAGTGGATAGCCTTGGCATGTTCCTATTTTCATATGTGGAATGCTGGAGAGGCTGGTTTGTTAGAATCCAGAGAACAACTTAACCTTGGAATTGATCATTCCAAGGTTCCTCGAATCATGGATACTACAAAGACTTAAGCACCACTTAGAATCAAAGCTGTAATCCATTGCTTTGGTTGAATTGATGACATTTCCTTTTGCCTAACTAACAATGGCTGACAGTCCTCCACAGATCAACATATTAAATTAAAAGCTGGTAAAGTCCGTGGTGAGCCTGAGTGGGAAGATGAAAATTGTTTGTTGTAGGACATAGTGGGGTTTGCATGACCAAATGTGCTGTACTTGGCTTGGAATGGAATGGTGGGAGGAGGAGGGTTAAGATGGTGCTTGGAATATTTTCATTGGGATTTGGAAAGGGGGAAGCAGAAATGAGAATAAACTGGAAAAGGAAGCAGCAAATACTGGGTCAGATTCAGCACTCATGATTAACACTTATAGGAGTGCAGATACCAGTGCACCCAGACAACAGAAGTGTAGTTTGGAATTATAGAGATAAATATTGTATCTAGTTATTATGAGCTAGAGCTAATTCTCCGCCCTTTAGCTTGTTCTTGTAGTTACTTTCATGTTGCAGATACAGTTTATCCATAAGTAGCCTAGTGTTCTGCGCCTACGAACTGATTAACCTTGCTTTATATTAAATAGATAAGAACTTAGCAATGACGATTCAGGGTTTAGTCAAGTTCATGGAGGAAAACCTATGAATTTCTACAAATTATGATGGGGTGCATGATATCTTCGGTTACCAGTTGCTGGAGAAATAGTTTTGCAGGTAGTATGATTTAAAGAGCATCTTTAAAAATCTGGAACTGCAATGATAATCTTTTTTTATGGTGACTGAGAGACCTGAAAACATTTGTCAGAGCCACTTGGGTATGGGCAAAACTCAATCCAAGTTTAGAGTAGGGCAATTGAGCTTTGTTGCTGGAGTTGTCGGAATCAGGCATGTATTATTGCGTTGACCAGACAAGGACAACATTCCCAGCAGCTAGCAGTAAAACAAAAGACTCAGCTCCTGAATCTGGCCAATCCTAAGACTTGATGCTGACTGCCAATTACTATAAGGTGTGTGGGTGCTCCCTGGTTCAACAAACTTCTGAGCAAACACAGTCCACAGCAGCAT